TGACCAAATCCAGGGAAGGAGCAGAGAGAAGACTTGTGGGATAGGCAAAATACGTAAAAGAGGTCAAGAGGTACAAACAAGTACCTCATAAAAGCAGTCAGTCATGGGAATATAATATCCAGCGTGGTGATGCTAGGCAGTCATAATGTAGAACATGCTTGAAAGTTGCCAAGAGAATGGACCCTAAAAGCTGACTTTGTATAGTTACATGGTAACTAGACTTACTGCGAACATCATTTTGCTATGTATACAAATATCAAGTTATTATGTTGTACCCCTGAAATGTTAATTAGACCTCAATTTAAAAACTTGGGAAAATAGGGCCTCCCTAGTGACGCAAGGGGTTAACACGCAACCTATGAAGCTGACTGCAGCATGAGTTCCATCCCCAGCCAGGGAGCAACCCCCATGGTGCAGCAGACCTCTCCTGGCTTGCCGACTGCTCCCCTCAGCAGTGTATTTCAGTGAATCTGCATGTTCTGTTCCTCACTCTGTCTCTGGTGAATCCTCTCATCCCACCCCCCCAACCTCTGGCCTCTACCCCAGTTCTTATATACATAAATAAATCTTCAGATAAAAATAAAAACTTGGGAAAATGAAAGAGAAAGAATAGGGACAGGAAAACAGTATGCTGACCTCCCTCATCCTGCCCCCTCCTCTGCAGCGGGTGCCTGCTCTTGGTCAGTTTACAGAAATCACCATGGACAGGACAGGCCAGGGAGTAGATTTGGAGGCGATAGAGGTAGGTAACTAGCACAGTTCAATTTCTGGCCTGGAAGATTTTACACTTGCAACACTGAAGTGTTGTTAAAATTTGAAATATATTCACAGAGAAACTCTATTGAAAGTCATCCCAAAGAAATAAAGTGACTCATTACCCTGTAGCCAGATGACTTTGTGAAAATCAGATGCATTGTTACCTGAATTGGTAACAGTTGTTTTTCACTTGAGGTACAACATGTTCTAGGCTGCAAACCTTCCTTGTCAGATGGTAAAGCTGAAATTTTCCTGGTGACAGAACAGCAGCAGGCAGACTGCAGGTTTCCTCTATCCCTTCCCTCAACACACAGAGCCTTATATTCCATCTAATATGACAGGGTGATCTCTGCTTAGCTTCAACTCAAAACACAGTTTTCTACTTCCTGATTGTAAAATCCCCAAAGATGCCTCAGTTTTTTTTTTTATTCCAAGAAATGCACATGAAAATCTTTCCGCCAAAAAATACCCACAGAACCTAATAAACAGTAACCTAAATTCAAGAGCACCTGGAGAGTGCTTAGCAGGTGGGAAGAAATTTCCAGAAAGTTTATTTGGAATCATCACTCTCCCCCTTCCAATCATTTCTCTCCCGATTAAACACACGAATCTGTGGTCAAATGCATTTGGCTCAGAGTGGGAAGAGAAAATCCCAGGGAGATCAGCTTTGTCAGTTCTCTGCTAGATGAGAATTTTCTCTCCAGATTATACCCAGGACCAAGGTGGAGTCCATGCCTTTGTTCAACAGCACAGACACAGCCACTCTTTCTGGGACAGCGTGGGCAGCATCAGGATGCAGAGCATACAGTGGCTTCAGCTGAAGGGCAGACTGGGCTGCAGTGAACTCTCAGCCCTCACATTATCGCCAGTCATCTCCCCTATTATATGACAACAGGGTGGTATTAACCACGAGTCATTGTTTTCCATGGAAATAACGGCCTTCAGGCCTGATAATGTACTTTGGCATCAGGGCATCAAAGTAAATGCAGACACTGCCCCTGTGCTGGCCCTGGCTGCTCTGATAAATCGCCCATCAATGGAGTCTCGGAGAGAGACTCTAGCAAATGAACAGATTATTGAATTTTTTCAGGTCATTTGAAGTATGAGTGCCTGCCTAGGATAAAGAAAGCAAATAGGTCTGTCTCTTTTCTGAGTCACGTTCTTTGTGATGCAGCTTCTTGAATAGAACAGGGCGGGCGGCACTGACCCTGAGGCCAGGCTTACATGGCTAATTTTAGAACATCATTTCTGGTTAAAGCACCATGTTGTGGATATATTTTTTTAATAATTCCAGAAACAGATTTGTTTTTTGTTTGCATTCTGGAAGGGTCTGTTCTTTCTTGAAATCTGCTCTGTTTACCTTCTATGGCCCCCTGCTCTCCTGGGTCACTCGTTTTTGCTTTGTTCCTCCACTAAGTGTGTAAATGAAGATCATCTCCCAGCTCTGCCCTTGTACACAGAGTCTTTCTTCTCGCTACACCCCCAGTAATCCACCCAAGATTGCATCCTCAATTCAAACCCCTCACTGAAGCCCTGGACTTTCTCACCTGTTGTATACTCAAGCTGCATGTACAGAAACAGAACTGGCTGTTGTCCTTCAACACCATTCAAAAAAGAAATAGTCCAAAATGGAGTCTTTCCTGATGGACCGCAGAGACTTAACACCTAACCTAATAAGTTTCAGTAGTTCAACAAAGCGAAATTCTAAGCCAATTAGTTTGGAGTTGCCTAATCAGCATCCCTGGAGAAATCTGCATAGGAGGCCCCCTACGCTCCCCTGACCACCTTGTCCTGCTCCCCCCTTGTTCACTCATTTCAGAGCCTTTCTCCTTGCTGGATGGAGGCTGCCCAACTGATGAATCATTTAATTTGGCCAGTGAGATCTCTCAATTTATACAGATGAATTTTGTTTTTCAGCAATACCAAAATTGTCCCTACTCCCAACATCACTGCTTCTTCCCTACTGACCGGAAACCATTTTCTAGAACTCATGATGAAAACGGTTAATATCACAGTTTTCCTGAGCTATTCATTGTCTGTTTTCATGTGAGACTCTTTAAGATCTTTTACTGAAATAATTATAATCATTCTCCTCTAAACTCTTCTGATTCAGTTCATTAGAGGGTGCTTCCACATTACTCATACTAGAAACCCTCTCTAATCACATACCTGCTTTTTCCAAACTCTTGCTGTGGCTCCCGACTCCCTGTCTAGGAAACTACTGGCTTCATAGCTTAGCATGGAAGGAGCTGCACCAGACTCCAACTAACTCCAGTTCTCCCATTATCCCCTAGACTAAGGGCCAGCAAACCAAAACCTATGAACCAAATTTGGACCATGACTTGTTTCTGTAAATGAAGTTTTATTAGAACAAAACCACACCCACTTTGTAAATTGTCAGTCAGTTTTCACTTTACAAAGGTAGAATATGCTACAATGTTAGATAATTACAAGATATCATATGGCCCACATATGTAAGATATTTACTATTCAGCCCTTTACAGAAAAGATGGTTGATCGTTGCTCTAGCTATTTTCCTATATTAAAAACCAAACTGGAAGCTCTGAACTTTCCATTTATACTTTTTTTTAAGATTGATTTATTTATTCATACAAGATCTGGGGTACAGGCCAGAGGTGCGAGGGGTGAGAGGGTTCACCAGAGACAGAGTGGGGAACAGAACAGGCAGACTGACTGAAACACACTGCTGAGGGGAGCAGCAGGCAAGTCAGGAGAGGTCTGCTGCGCCATGTGGGTAGCTCCCTGGTGGAGGATCAAACTTGTGCTGCAGTGGCTGTGGTGAGCTTCATAGATTGCATCTTAGCCCCTTGCCACCAGGGAGGCCCTCCATTTATACTTTTGTAACAGTGTAATCCTCATAGAAAGGGGAGGTTTCATTCTCCCTGCATCACCCAAGAAGGGTGGAGCTAAGGAGAGAGGAGAAGCTAAAAAGCCGTGCTTGCTTCTCAGCCTTGGACTTGCACCTGGGACTTGTGGGACTTGGAAGGAGACACTTAGAGATGTGGGTGAGAGTCTGGTGGGGAGGCTGACAATGGCAGCTTTTATCTCGACTTGTATTTTGATTTTGCTCCTTTCCTTCCAGACCTCTGTGACCCCGTCTGCTCCTTTCATATATGGGTCCCTATCAGATACCAAAAAGTGCCTTAGATTTGTGGCAAAGTTTCAGACCTCAGTGGCCCTGATTTGGACCAACCCTGTTTGGCTGGGCAATCACCCATGTGAGGATGGGTAACTTTGGGTGCTTCATTGGGAGACTATATTCTTTTCTCTCTCTTCTCTCTATTGCACACTAATCCTTTAAAGTTCTTTTCTATTGAAAGTCTATGCACTAAGTATGTTTTGTCTTTAAGTAACAGATGGCAGAACAACTCACTTAAAGCATGTAGGTTTGGGGGTCCAGGGTGCCCCTCATTTTACCTGTTAACATGTTTCACTCCAAAAATGTTTTCCCGGGGCCTCCCTGGTGGTGTAAGGGGTTAAGCACCTCACTATGAAGCAATCTGAAGCCTCTGCAGCACGAGTTCAATCCCTGGCCAGGGAGCTACCCACATGGCACATCAGACCTCTCCTGACTCACCCGCTGCTCCCCTCAGTAGTGTATTTCAGTCAGTCTGCCTGTTCTCTTCCCTGCTCTGTCTCTGATGAATCCTCTCACCCCCCACACCTCTGGCCTATACCCCAGCTCTTGTATGCATAAATAAATCTTTAAAAAAAAATTTTTTTCCTGATCCCAACTCTTAGAGTCTTTCAAATTCTCCTCAAATGTACCTCCTTCAGGAAACTTTCCTCAGGTGTACTCATCGGTTCCTCACTGAAGTGCTCTTTCCAGCAAATGCCTTTATTGAACCTCTGTCATCCAGGCACAGTGATAGACCATGTGGACACTGAGAAACAATGGCCCTAATAAAGCTTGCCCTTGAAAGGCAAAGATTCCTATAACATAAATATGGCAAAATATAAATTGTAGTAAATGGTAAAAAGAAAAGTCAGGGTGTTATAAGAGAACATGACAGGGGGATCTACTTTAAATGAGAAAATCAAGAGCGTCTTCTCTGAGGCTGAGACCTATGATGAGCAAAGCACTGTAGGGGGAGCATATTCCAGCCACAGGGAGTAATGGGAGAATGACCATGGAGCAGAACAGAGCTTAGCATGTCTAAGGAATTAAATATGGGTTCAAATGGCTCTGCCTATCCAGAAAGCAAGGAGAAATGTGTACATACCGAGGCTGAAAGGTGGCAGACACCAAATCAGGAGGAACTTTGAAGGCCATACTAGGAGTTGAATTTCATTTTCCCATGAAAAACCATTAGACCATTTCGAGTCTAAAAGAAGAGCTCAGATTTCTTTTCTTTCTTTCTTTTTTTTTTAACATCTTTGTCTTCTGTGTGGAGAGTAGATTGGAGTGGAGGCCAAAGTATACTCTCTACTATCTAACTTCCACTGTAATAATTCCCACTGTAATAATTCTCTTTTGTGACATCACCTTCTGTTATTTGCATATACTGCACATTGTAGTTATATGTGAACATATTCTGTTGTCTTGCTAGAGGCAACATACTGGGGATCCTGGATTCTTAGCCCTTATCCATCTTAGAATCTTTTGTGCCATCCACTAGAGCACATTGCACAAAGCAAACATAGCATGAATAATTAATGAGTTAAATTAGCTGTCCAGATTTTCCTGAATTCAAAAACTTCCATATTTCTCCAACACTCAGTGTTTAGGCTCACTGGAGCCTAAACTCATTGGAAAGGAACTGTATTTTCATAGGTAAAAAGAGGACTGATGGGGAAAAACTACAGGGAGCTGATTTGGCACAATATTGGACACAAGATGAAGGCTATCTTTTATGGAATTAGAGGTTAGCAAAACTGGAATTACCTGTCTTGTAAGGAAAGGGGTTCCTAATCAATACCAGTTTGAGCTGTGATCACATGACATTAACCAGAGACAATATGGATGATCTAGTAGGTTGAATGGTGCCTCCCATGTCCTAACAATAGAACACACCTTAACCCCAATGACCCATGAATGTGACTTTATTTGGAAAAAGGACCACTGTAGATACACAATGCAAAAATCTCAACAGAAGATCATCCTGGATTATCTGGGTTAACCCTAAAAACAAGAAGTATTCTTATAAGAGACAAAAGATGAGATGAAACAAACACAGTAGAAAAGGTTCTTGAAGAGAAAGGCAGTTATCAGAGTGATGGAAGATCACATCAAGCCAGGGAATGCTTGGAGCCACAGAGAACCAGGAGAAAGGATGTGCCCATACAATCTTAAAAGGAAGCATGACCCTGCTAACAAACTATTTTTGGACTCCTGGCCTCCAGAAATGTGAGAATAAATTCCTGCTGTTTTTAAGTATGTAGTTACAGCAGCAACAGGAAGCTAATCCAGATAGACTGGGGAATGAGTGCCTAGCTCCATGGTTCTCAAGCAATTTTTCAAGGTTTAGCTCCTTTAGTTCAAATGGAATATTACTGACAAGACAAGAGGTAAAACACATAGAAATTTCCCAGCTCTAGTTGAAGGAAATGGGTAGCCTCCTGCCTTCCTGGTGCTTCCTCCACCTAAAGGGCTGTTATGGAGCTAGATGACTCCAAGACTCATCGGGTCAGCATTTTACATGACAAGGAAGACAAGCCCAGGAAACTCAAGTGTATTGGGTAGGCTACTCTTAGAAGCAGACCCTGTGCTTGTGTGGGAGGTCCTCTCAGGAGGAACCATCAGGGAATTAAAGGAGGCCAACAGTAAGTATAGTCATGGGGAGGTTATTTCTATGGGCGACTGTTGTAAATTCTGCAAAAGTCTCTGAAATGATTTAGATTATGTCTCAAATGTTCTGCAAAGAGCTTGAAGATGGAATATTTGTCCATTAATTTCCACTCTTCACTGGCTAGTGCTGCCCCAGGAGTGGTAATTCCCACCACTTTTCTCACCTCCTCTCCTCTCTAGCTGAGCATGCACAAAGCCCTGGTGCTGGCAGCATGAGTCCTTGGCACATACTGGAATGGTGTGAAGTGCGGGGACGTGTCTAGTACTCTACTGGCAGGTCTGGGAAACACTCCAGTTGGCTGCTGAATGCCTATGTGAAAAACAACTCTGTGTAAGACCATCTACACTGTCCTGGAGGAAACAGGCAGAATAAGTCCCTTGTCTCCCTATTGTTCATCTAATCATGGAATAGAAACTTTGCTCTAAACTGTACTTCTCTGCAGCTTGTCAATCAACCATCTGCATAAATAAGTCATAAAACAACTGAGCATTTGCAATAGTCATGACACAAATACTACACACATCGGAAGGGAAGGACTAGAACATGGAAATCATTCAAAAAAATTAACAATTCTTGTTTTAAATAAATTTCCCAGGAAGAACTAGAAACAATGTCCCTGGTATTTCTATAAAAAAAGTGTTGAGGATAAGACAACCTTTTAAATGCAAAGAGAAATGGACGTGACTTATCAGGCTCAATGGTGGGTACCAAAGATGAAAACAGCAAACTATGCCAAGTATATCGCTGTGCCAGGAGGGCACTTCTGGTTTGGCAGAGTCCAAGTATTATAGGACACGTGGAGCACTCTAACAGCCTAGAGTACTGGAGGGAGACAGCATGGTGGTTAAAAGCAGGTAGTTAAGTCCTGACAGACCTGGCACCAAACCTGACCCACCACTTACTGACAGTGTGGCCTTGAGCAAATGACTCTACCTCTTGTATATCATGGGACAGATCATTCCAGTGAGGTCACAGGAATGACACACCAAGACTAATGCCGAGTGCTTAAACATTTTATTCACTTTTGTTTTTAAAGGCGCTTAAACCTTTAGTTTGTCACTCAGAGACACATCACCAGGGAGAATGAGAGAATGAGATTTGGGAAATTCCACCCCTCCAGTGACACAGGGGAGTGGTAAAGATGTAAGGTATTGTAGGTTTCTATCAAGATGCTCAAATCTGGGCTGTACTTGTTAGTTGAAAGCCTGCCAAACAAGGCAGCTAGCAGAGTAAAATCTAAGTCTGCAGAAAAAGGGGGGTATGTTTCATGCTTGGGGACATAGCCACCTGAAAACCCTGAAATTTCCTGGCCTGGGGGAAAATATGTGCTTTTTTGCCAGGCAGCTTCCTATGGGGTGCTTCTGGCTTACAAACAGTTCCCCAGACAGTATCCCTGGTGGCTTTCCCCAGAGCATGCCTTGTTCCCCACCACCTTTGCAAAAATGTCCTTACTCTGAGTCCTCCCACTCCAACCCACAGACTGAGTATTTTAAGCAGATGTAGTAGAATTAACAGGAAGTGTATTTATAGGACTTTTTTCCTAAAGGAACTTAAAGATAAAGTTTGAGCAATGCAGAAGTCCTCCTGGAGCTATTTCTGTACCTGCAGAAAGGTAGATTAGAGAGATGACTGTCATCTGATGAATGGTATGACTAGTCTTCAGGCTAAGATCCCGGGGTTTTCCATGCGAGCTGTGCTGCCAACCCACTGGCAGGCCGGGCAAATCGCAAACACTCACTGTGCCTCAGTTTTCCCATATGCAAAGTGGAGATAAAAATATACTTCCCCGCTGGGTATGTTCTGAGGATTAAGGAAACAATATCAGCGAAGCACTTTGTGGTGTTATAGACCCCAAAAGGTATTACCATTATAAAAATGCACAATGTAAGACTATTTTTTAGTTTGTGACTTTGATGGCATGAAGAAACTTCACCCTCCAGCTTTTTAATATGATTATAAGCCCTTTACAAGAATACAGCTTTCACTCGGCACAGCAGGATACATAATATTTCTTATAAATTTAATTTAGAAAACGGCAGGAAAATAATGTTAAGGATTTGCCTTAAACCTACTAAAGCACGGCATTTCCATTAATACTGCCACTCCATCTTTAACTCCACACATTGTGCTTTAAGATGACAGTCTTCTAAGAGCCCCGCTATTCTTTGGAACAATAAAGGTAAACTTGAGATACAGGGCTTTTTGTCTCTAGACTTTTCCCCCTAAAGCTGCCTAGTCAGATCCCTAATAACCCCCTTCATGTTTTTTTCTTCTTTTGAAGTAATGGTCTGAAAAGTTCTGAGATAAGTTTCTCGAGGTCTTCCGATAATGGATGCTCTTCCCCGAGCACTTGCTGCCCCCCTGGAACTTCTGAATGGCTTTGGACACAGAGTTGCTGGGTGTGACATAGGGGAGGTGGAATAGTTTCCACCTCCTGGTGGAATTCCACCTTCCCTGCTTTAGCTTTTGGTTAAAGATGAGAAGAAACTCCAAGGACTGAAGAAATGATTCACTGCTTTGGACAATTGTCCCCAGTGGGAGGTCATCTAAATCTCCACCTCCGAAGCCACCTGCATTCATCTTCTATGGCTGATGTGACAAAATATTGTGAACTTAGTGCTTTAAAACAACACAGCATTTATTATCTTACAGTTCTGTAGATTCTAAGTCCAAAATGGGTCACACTGGGCTAGGCAATTGTAGGGCTATGCGAGAGTTAGGGGAGAGTCTGCCCTTAATTTTTCCTGCTCCTGCATTTCTTGCCTGGTGCCCTCTACCCACATCTTCGAAACCAGCAACAGGGTGCAAGTCCTTCTTAGTTCATCTTTCTCACCTCTTCTGTTTCCCTTTTCTACTTTTAAAGATCTCTGCGATTACACTTTGCCCATCAGGACAATCTTGCCCATCCAGGGGAGTTGATTAGTGACCTTAATTCCATCTGCAGCCTTAATTCTCCTTTCACATATTCACAGAATCTGGTGATTAGAACATGGGCACATTTGGAGACAGGGGCTAATGTTTTGCTTACCATAGGACAGAAATATATATCCCAACTCCTGTTTCCATGGACAACACATGGGTCCCAAGAACTCTAGGGATGTTGCGATGTGATGTTGTTCCTGACATCAGAAGTTCTGCTAGGCTACTGCCCTTCCCTACCCAAGTTTCTCGCCCAAGGACAATGCTGCTTCCTTGTCAGACCTTTCACCCCAGTCCCAGCCTCCACTGTACGCATGGGTGAGAAGCTCATCAAATCCAGGTCAGTACCGATGTAAGCATCTCATATAGACATCTGTTATCTTCCTACAAGTGATCTGAATGCATTTCGAATGTTCTGAATACCAAATGCTGAAGCTGAGTCCTCATTTCTCGACCTCTGCCCTACATTTGTTGAAATAGCAACTGATTTATGTTTTTGTGTTCCTGACTGAAATCAAGTCTGACCAAGGTTAAATTCAACAATGAGTGGCATTTGTCTCTATTACAACACAGATATGTGGCTTGTAGGCTCTCTGCAAAGTCCTGTGCATAAAAAATGTCATCTAACTTTCAGATGAATATATCTTCAGAGAGGTAGAATATCTTACCCAGGTCACAGAGCTTTATCACCTTGAAAAAAACCAGGTGATTTTGTCTCTAGAATCATGGGCCC